AATGTAAAAATTTTTAAGTATCCTTGAACTCTTAATATCGCCATTAGATTTTGAACGAAAAGCCTCAAGAAGAACAATGAAGGTTGTTTGCTGTTATTATATAACATTAAGAAAATTTTCTATAGCAGAGTCTCCTTTCTTAATAATTATAATATACTGATCGGAGGCTAATATTAATTAACTTAAAATTATATATTACATAAATGTTATGATTGTTTTACGTAAGCTGAGAAAAAGAGATCCGAATTCACATATTATTTATTTGAAATTTTAAACTATATTTGTATTTTACTTTTATCAATATTTTATATATTTGTCTGTTTTGGAAATGCTTGTGTTTGTTTATCTTATAATAACTTACAATTGTAATTAATGTCCATTATTCTTTTTTTTTTGGGCTGATAAGCTCCCAGTGAAACCAGTCCTCTTTCCAAATGAAATACCTTTGTTTAGCCTGCGTTTCGTTTCTTATTTTCACAAGTCCCCTGGTGGGACAGTGTTAAGTCTTGGGATTTACAAGGCTAAAATCAGGGGTCCGATTCCCCTCGGTGGACACAGCAGATAGCCCGAAGTGGCTTTGCTATAAGTAAACACAGACTTATTTTCGCATTCAAGTCAGTGTTTCACAGTTTCGAATTCCAAATAATATATATACACACGCGTGTTTAAAAGATCATCACACAGTTTTGTTTATAAATGTCAATATAAATTTATTTATATATTGTTCTTCTATATCATCATTTACAGTGAATGATAATTTGATTTGTTGCTAAAATTAATGTTACAAATGCAATAAGTTTTTATCGAGCAGAAAATAACAGCGACCAACGGAACTTTAATTTGAAAAGTATGAGCACAATACGAATTTATTAAGTCAAGATTGATTAATAAAACGGTATTATTAACAGTAATTTGAGTATAATCTTGAATTACAAGAATATTTTGGTTCATATTTGTAAATAAAAAGGTTTAATTAATAATCGATTTCATTCATATAGTCATAATAAACAGCACGACGTATTATTGTGAGCTTTACTTGTGATAAAAATGTAATTTGTATCCGAAATCGTTTAAAAAAGTGGAAGAACATTATTAAGTGTACAGTAGTCCGAATCATTATTACATCTTCATTTTTCATTTTTAGTTTAGTTTAAACGAAATTGAAAAGTTGTTAAATGCTCGTGAAATTTTTAATTCAATCCTCAATAATATGGTTGGATTACACATAATCGTATCATAATAACGTGCTAAAAGATAAAATGGAATTCGAAAAGTTTAACTGTTTCGGAATATCTAGAATGAATACATAAATTGGTAATATTTCATTACAATTTAGACTTACTAAGCTGGTGCAGGTGTCATCATTTTCAAAGTATAACGTTCATCTCAAAACTGTGGTTTCACAACTAAAAATGGCATTACTAATTATATTATAGTAAATTTTGCTTTACGTCCGGATTATAATTATAATATTAATAAATCTTTCGACTAATGATTGGCTTAATTAATTTTGCAAAGATTGGTTTAAACAGCGTTAAGATATGTTAGTAATATTTATATCTTATCCTAGTTTAAACCCCTATCGGAAACGGGTCAATTTTATCCTGTTGGTTGGATAGGGATCAAATAATGTTGTTGCTATAACAATTATTTCTTTCCAAGATGCTATTCCGTGGCTCAGTGATAAGTCTAAAGGCTTATTACATTAAAAGTCGGGTTTCGATACATATGGTAGGTTCAACACAGACCATCGTGTGTGTAATTTGCGCTTAACAACAAACAAATCTTTCCAAGATATACAGAGCGAAAATTAGCCGGAGTAATTTTTCTAAAACATTATGATGAAGTTTTATTTTCCAAAAATTATGAAACTAACGAAAAAGTGTACTGGTTGTTTAACTATGCAAAACTAAATTATGTTATACCGAAAAAAATTCTTATTCATATCAGAGTCATGGGCTATTTAAACTAAAACTGGCAATGTAGAACCAAAACCTGGGGTTTTGAAAATATAGTCCTGCTTTTTTATCAGAGTTTCTTACACAATGCATTAAAATATTAGTTACCAGTTTTGTTATACTTTGTGTATAGAGCACCTTCTTTTAATTATCTTACATTCAGATAAGTTGAAACTCAATGTTAAGATCCTACATTTCATATCATCTGTCTTTCTCACGTAGGTAAGCTGAAACTGATTGTTTAATTATGAATTTCGTGCGAATCTATATGAGGGCTATCTGCGCTAGCCATCCCTAAATTAGCAGTGAAAGACTAGAGGGAAGGCAGCTAGTCATCACCACCCACCGCCAACTTTTGGGCTACTCTTTTACCAACGAATAGTGGGATTGACCATCACATTAATACACCCTTATGGCTGAAAGGGCGAACATGTTTGGCGGGATGGGAATTCGAACCCGCGACCCGCAGATTGCGAGTCGAGCGCCCTAACCACCTGGCCATGCCAGGCCACAAGTTGATGCTCAATATTAAGGTTCTACATTCTGTATCATTATACTTTGTCATTTTAGAGAAGCTGTATCTCAATGTTAAGATTTTACATTCTGTGTCATCAGCTTTTTTTTTTTACTTAGGTAATTTGATACTCAATATTAAGGTTCTACATTCTGCATTATTAGACTTTTTCATTTTAGATAAGCTGGAACTCATTGTTAAGATCCTACGTTCTGTCTCATCAGTCTTTCTCACTTAGGTAAACTTAACCTCGGTATTAAGATCCTAAATTCTCTATGAGTCTTTCTTACTTTAAGTAAGTGAAATCCATTGTTACGGTTCTAAATTCTCTATGAGTCTTTCTTACTTTGGCTGAAAGTCAAGATCGTACCTTCTGTATCAGTTTTTCTTTTTTTACATTCGCTGAAACTCTATGTTAAGATGTACATTCTGTACTAGTTTCTCTCGGGATTCTCGTGTAATTTACTGACAGTGCACAGCTAATCCACTTGTAGCTACAAGACTGATACGAACTTTAGGATCTCTGACTATTATTATTAAACATATTATTAAACATGGAGACTTATTAGTAAATATAAATACTAAATTTCGATAATCTATAAAATGTTACCATAGAGTGCAAACGCAGTAATTAAATTACGGTTTCTAAAGAAAGATATTTGATTGAAAAAACAAAATATATATATACTAGAATACTTTTGAACAGTGGTAATTCTGCAGTAATCTTGTATTACTACACTTGTGAATACACATGCATGTACAGGTAACAGATGAATGTTTAGATAGAGTAAAATCGAGATAAATTGCACTCTTATATAAATATATATATATATATATATATACACACACATAAAAGCACTGTTGTATCATGCCTGATAAAGCGTGCTAAGCATATGTCTATTGCTGAAACAAACGGTTTTATAAATTGATGAAAAAATTAAACTGAATTTTGTTACTGCTTGAATTATGTTTGTATTGTGATTTTATATTACTTCACACATACTAACCTATTACATAAATTGTTAGTATATGAACACTTTGCTATAATAAGAGAAATAATAAAACGAGTCCAGTTGATGCTCGTCATACCGGAGACTATATATCTAACTTGATAAATAATTGAAATACCTATAAGTAGCTAAAAAAATAATTTCACATCATCAGAAAAGTTTTATTCTTTTAACTCAAGCATCGCGCTTTCGAAAACCCCCGTACTCTGTTATATCGTTATTAGAATGTCGTCCATAAACCGAAATTTTCTTTAAAATATAATGGAAAAATAAGAGAGTCAACCAAACAATAGACGAAATGTTTTATTTTATTAGCTCGAAACAAACAATCGCAGCTGACTATCATAGTAATGAATGATACAATAAACAAGTCAAAACAGGTGGTGCAAACTTTTTTATCTAATGCACTGTTATGAATATTCATTTTTCTGTTATGTATGAACTGGAAACCATTCACCCAAAATGTGGAGGAAATAGATAAAAATTCCTTTAAAATTTCACGATTTTCTACCACGGACGAGGAATGTATTTCAGTAATTTAGATAAAAGCCGGGATATCTTCCCGTCTGTTAGAAAAGTATTTATTAGGAACTGTTGAATAACACCTTGCACAAAATTCTTCATTATTTATGCACTTAAACCAAAAACGTGATAAAATATTGGACACTAAATAAACATTTATTTTCTCATAAAACATTTCTGGCGCGTAATTATTTATACAAGCCAGACTATACCATGGAAAACATTTTCTATTCTGATTCAAAACAAAAAAAAAACATCCATATGTTAGCATATACATACATATTATCAGTATTTATTTTTATATAATATAAGCATACACTATACCTTTACATGTGTAAACAGAGATTAATCCTCTGTCCAGTGCCTGGTTGCTAACCATTGAGTCACCTACAAAACAGATTTATTCTGATCTTGTAAGGTTTCTTGTGGCCTTGTGTTCGTATTACTTCGGAAAAATAAAATAAAATGAAAAACTACCTACATGCCTACACATTATTGCACACAAAATTTCAACCACTTTTTGTCTCATATAAGATTAATTTCTACAGTCTTGTTAATATCTTAACATGAAGGGATAATAATCATTTCTTTGAACACAATAACAGATTCGTAGCACTGTACTTTCAGTTAGAGAACATGCTTCGGTCGTCAAAACATCTGTTGATACGTTTTACAACCAAAACTCCAACATCGTTATGTATGATAAAGAACAGAAATTGCTTAATGTGAGCGAAACACAGAATGTTTCTTAAGTTTCTCATAAAATATTTTCACATATATATATAGACGTCTTATTCTTCTATTACTCATTACAAAACTCTTTTAATCGTTTTCCTAGATTTATTCGCCTTTTAGGTAACGATTTATGGTGTTGGAAATACTGGTAAATAATATATTCCCCTTCTTAAATCATACTCTTACATAAAAATCAAAATAATCTATTGCATTCCAAATTACAGAAATTTACCCATTTGTCCAGCCTTTTTCCAATTTCCCACCATTACCATTTCTTCTTTCTGGCGATTATACACATATTGTCTGCCATACATAGATGATCTAACGTAACAGCCTTATAACACGAAATTAACACAAAGTTCATGAGAATTATCTCCAAGAGCCGGTGGGGTAGGAAAGCCTTTTTATGTTCAGCAATGATTCTTTTCAGTGTTGTCCATATGTTATTTTCAATCATAAGTAAAATTCGGGAGAGCTGGGGTTGCTTGCTGCACCACTAGATACACTGGACAATGATCTCTGTGAACAGTCTCGATTCTTAGCCCCATTTATTTGTTGTTTGTAGTAATCTCTCTCCTGACATACTCTCTCCAGTTCTTGACGAAGTCGAAATATTTCAGCCTGAAGTAATCTGTTTTTGGTCTCTAGTTCGTGCCTCTGGGCTAGCCGCTTATTTCGGCAGTTTTGGGCATAACCCCGGTTCTTTAACGTTCGTCTTTTCTGTTTGAGACGTACAACTTCTTCCCGTGGGTATCCATGCAATCGCTTGTTCAGCTCTCTAACAGTCAATGTAGTCAGAATGTCGTCTTCCAATAAATGCCACGAGGACTGCTCCTGATCTGTAGATAACCCGCCTCCAGAATTGCTTCCTCCGTCCAACTGGTAAGCAGGCGAGCAGGAGATCTGATTAGAAAATCCCCCCAAAGAACGCGGTGGACCGAGTTCTTGGTGCATGGTAGTCGATGACACGTCAGAAAATTCTCTTTTTTCAAGCCAATTGTCCAGCTCTGCTGCACAGTGTGGCCTTAGGTCGAGGGGTTTGTGAGGGGTCATTCCTCCGTAACGAAATGTCTGAGAAAACCACATCATATTTTCATCCATATGATTAGGTATCTTGGAATCCACGGAGACTGGAGGCATGGTTGGAGTAGCTAAAGTTGATGTCGGCATTGCCCCGAAAGCTGGAGAAGGAGGATTTCCCATGGCATTTCCGGGGGTACTGGCAGCTAGGGCTATCTGTTTTCTTGAGTTCGGTCCCATATTTGACATGCCATTATGCATTGGTAAGTGCTGCTGTGACTCAACTGCTATTGCAGCTCCTAAAGGCACAGACTGTGTGGATACAGGTATGGTCTCGGAGACGTTGTCTCCCACAACACAAGACAAACTACCGAATTTATTGCGGGCCTCTATCTCCCGCTTGACCACCTCTTCCAGGTGATCTAGATCAAAATCGTGTACATAGTCGTCCGACATGCCCGTCCCGTCTGCCTCCATGGTTCCTCGCATCCAAGCCTGTCTGTCGAGATCCGGTCCCGCTACTCCAGCCTCCTGCATCGGCGCTGCATCAAAATAGATGTCGTTCAAAAGTGGCGACCTTGGTTTGCCTTATACGCAGTTGAAGGAGAGAGACGCTACAGTTTCTAAAACCGTCCCATGGTATACACAACCAGCCATAACATAGTTTCAAGTCAGAGTGAAATTCACAAAATCATACTAGAAAATCAGACGTTGTCCAAACTAAGAAACTCTATCTCACAAATTAATTTTCTCGTCCAGACTCAGTAAAGAGTAAATACAGAATGGCTTCTATGCAGCTCACCATCTACTTATTATTGCTACGGAAATAGCACTTACACCATCTACTCGTGAGGACGCAGTCAGCTGAGTGTTTCAGCATCGCATGCCGCGTGTTATGCTTGCGATGCGCGGGGCGTTTCAGACGTTCACTGTATGTCAATATATGCAGGTATATATCAGCTGTATGACGATACTGTGACGTCATCTACGTGCACACCAGGCAGAATTTGCTACTGGCTCAAAGATTGTAGAACATGTTCCGTGGTCAGGAGGAGGATCCCATCAAGAAAGTGTCCATCCTACTTGAAAGTCTGAGTGACATATTAGCCGTTCATGTTGTTAACACTCATACTGATTTTATGAAAAGCGTACACGCGCCATCGAGTATGTTAACATATTATTACTTTCTAATACACACACACACACATATATATATATATATAAAGGTAAGCTTGTCAGGACGAAAAACGGTAATTATTGCTGATAAGTATTTTTGTTATCTAAATAGGTTAATTTTGGTAAAAAAATTCTGCTCCTAGTTTGCTTGAGAAGTACAGAATCGGAAGAGAAGCAAGCGAGTAACATGAAGTGAATGTATATCGACGTTCACCACCATAACGAAATTCAAGGTCTTTTAATATAACGACTCCCAGTGGAAGGGAAATCCTGCGATAGCAGTTTGTAATGACATCAAAAGTGGTGCGCTAGAACTCCGATTAGATAAAAGATATCATAAAAAAACTGAAGTAAAAGTTTAAAAGATCTCAAATTTAGCCAATAGCTAAATGATAAAATGTTTGAACTTTAAACGAATCCAGTAATCTTTAACTTGCAGTTAAGAAATACTTATACTTTACAAGATGCTTTGGCTGTTAGAAAAAAAATTACATAATCCTGGTGTTAAAAACAATAACTAATGTAGTAGCACGTTTTATTGCATTACAAAAATCATTTTAAGAACTGTTCGTTCCTAATAGCTATAAATATTAGAAATATATCTCTGCAATATTATAATATTGAATATCTTTATTTTAATCTTTCTTTCGTTCTCTGTTATCATTGTAACTAACAACAAGTAGGCCTGAAGTATTAAAGTTTAGTTGCTGTAAGCGGAAGTTATAAAAACTGCGTATTTCGCTGGAATGTTATAGTGACTTTTGGCTTCTTGCCAATGCGTATCATAAGATATACAGTATGTATGAAATGCTAATCATAGGGAAATTGAAATAAATCAAATAAGTAGACTAATAAAAGTGTTAAGATGCATAGATAGTAATTTCTGTAAAATGTTTTGAGCAATACGGAAATAACTTCATGTAACTTTTCCAGAAATTTAAAATTTACTATTCAATTATAATACCATGGTAAATACTTATTTTAAGTTGTCTTTAGATTTTGGCACGCAACAACTATTTGTGATACAGATACAAACAATTGTTTACTAATAAAGGCATTTAAAATGTGTTTTTCTTCTATGTCTCTTCAAAACAACAAATAAGTGACAGATATTGGCAAAACAATGCTGAAATTAGGCTATTTAATGTGGAGATTTGTGTGATAATAATAAACTTTTATTTCTAAACCAGCCACCACTTACATTGTGCTCCAGATGCATTAAATATGGATTTACATCGCTAGAAACTGGGTTTCGATACCCGTGGTGGGCAGAGCACAGATAGCCCATTGTGTAGCTTTGTGCCTAATTTCCAAATCAGCATGCATTAAATATGACGCTTATAAAAACATGTTTATTTATTCATAATTATTTATTGTAAATTCATGCTATAATAGTGTTAAACATTTCATAATTCAATATCTTGTTTTAGTTGCTGCTGTTTATTATTATAAACATACAGTGTTAGCATTAAAATATAGTTGTGTATATGTTTAAACCATTTCTGTCAGTAATATTGAGTTTTCGTAGTGCTCCTATACTACAAAAATATTTATTACATCGCTTTATATTACATCGGAGACGAGTCTGTTTTGAAGTTGCTAATAGTGTTCAGTGGTTCATAAAAAAATACAGTCGCTAGAGATATTTAAAATTAGTTAAGCCTATTTTTAGTTTTCATATGCAACTCCTTTCCATAGTAAATCAAAATTATTTATTATTTGAACTGAAACAAACTCAACAAACAATAAAGCTAGTCTGTTACCATCTTAGCGTTACTACTAGCGTAAGCGATATAATTGGTGAAATTATTTTTACATTTAGTTTGATTGTTGTTAAGCGCGAAGTTCCACAATGGTCTGTCTGTGCTCTGACAGGCCAGTGTAGTAAGCCTGCAGACTTTCCACTGAGCTACTGGGAGACTATTGTTACGTGAACTAAATTTGGTGCCTAAGTGGTAAAGAAGGAGTATGTATAACTGCAGCCAGGCAATTTAGTCATTCTCTAGCATTAGAAAGGTCATACTGGTTCAATAATTTTTAAACCTCTGTCCAGCCTTCCTTTCTTAAAGATGTTTATGTCCGACCCTAATCGTTTTATGAACATCAATGCATATTGAAATTTAGTAACTGTTATATAACAATGCAAGGAAAAAGTGAACAGGAAATCACTTATTATACCTATACTATATTATAACTCTATTGTTATTCAAATGACAACATGTATTATTGCACTTCTTCTGTATGTCATAGAATAATTATATCCTTTTGTAAAATTTTTATTCGTATATTATGTCTTTGTTTTAAGTTTTGTGAAGTACACTAATCGCGAATTTATATTGTGTGAAAAATTATAAATGGTGTGCAATCTAAAAGAGCTTCATTGAACATTTCACCAATTATTACGAAATCACTATAATATAACTGAAGCAACTCTGTTTTCAATTACTAAACTACCTCTCATAACTATAGTACAACTCTATGCTATAAAAGTAATATGCTTATAAGCTGTGTAAGCTATAAACCTTTTCTGGAATAGGTATGGGGATAACGTTTCACTCATTTCTGTGTATCGTCCTAAAACTTGTTTCTTGACGATACTTTCCTTAAGAATAACATTCACCACCGTAACCGAGTTACTTGGGTGAGAACACTGGCGACATGTCATCTTTACACATGAGTTCTGTTTTAGATTTGTTAAAGCTGGTGGTAGGATTCGTATTCGTCTTTCGCCTGGGGAACAAATGAAGGAAGACTATCTTTCCCACAGGAAGTGGTGCAGTATATGTTTTGGCAGCTGTTCATCATGGTGAAAAATTGTTCTTCATATCCTCCAGGGAATCGTCAATGACGCCTCCTATAGGCATCACATGGAGACGATATTTCTGCCATATGGTAGGGCAAAGTTTGGCAATAACTTTGTGTTGCAGAATGAAAGTGTCACTGCCCTCAGTGCGCGTATTGTACAGAATTATCTCGACCAGGAGGACATTACAAGATTGCCACGACCAACAAAGTCTGTACATTGTGATACCATTGAGAATTGTTTGGCAGAACTGAGCCAGAACATTGCTAACTACCAACCTAAACCAGCTACTGTAGGTGAGTTGCAACGTCTTCTAATGAAAAGTTGGGATGTAATCACGGTAGATTACATCAATAATCTCATTGACAGCATGCCACTTCACCTTGCAGAGGTTATTAGAAGTAAGAAGGGCCAACCAAGTATTGAATGTTTAATATGAACTGACGTAAGGTTACAGACGCTATTTATACAATTTGATGTTATATTTTGTCATTATATATGTTTTTGGTAAGGTTTTGTTGTGATAGGTAAAATGCTGAATTACACATCTTTCTACAGGTGTTTGATAAAATTGTTTGCTGTTCTAATAAATCATTCATGATGCCCATAGAACCTGTCTCATTATACAAATTACGCATGTAGATGTTTAATATACATACATTCCTCAATTTGACAGTGCTTGGTTGTTTGTTATAAATTTCGCGGAAAGCTACACGAATGCAATCTGCGATAGCCGTCCCTAATTTAGCAGTCAAAGACTAGAGGGAAGGCAGCTAGTCATTACCACCCACTGCCAACTCTTGGGCTACTCGTTTCCAAACGAATAGGGGGATTGACCGTCACATTATAACACCCTCACGGTTGAAAAGGCGAGCATGTTTGGTGGGACGGGGATTCGAACCCACAATAAAAGCGTAAAAAGTGTTCATTTCATATAATAAATTATCATTATATTTTGCTTGTATCTTTGTGTTTATTTGTTGTCAGGCAGAAAGCTACACAATGGACTATCTGTGCTGTGCACACCGCGGTTATCGAAACCAGATATTTAGAATAATAAGCCCTCAAACTTATTGCTGTGTCACTAGGACTTAGAATAGTAAGCCTTGGAAGGATTGGATGGTCATAGCAACTACATTCTTTCATTCCTACCCAATTGTAACGGTTTGATAAACCCTAAACAACTGATATGTAAGAATTTTTGTCCCTAATTCCACATTATACTTCTATTTTTAAATATTTGTACTCTTAAGGGATCATCAATAAAATATGTACGCAATGAGGGGTGGTGGTTTTATGTGTGAGTACCCCAAGAGTACAGGAAAAGAGAAGTTTCTTGACTTAAGTATCTTACGCACAACATTTCATTAAATTAGTGTAAAGACATTACATTATATGAATATATTTATTGATGATAATATATTGATCTTTGTGCTTAATATATAGGATACCCAAGTAATGTAAACAGTCTGTCTACTAGAGAGGTTTGAGTATGTTTTATTAAAACGATTTTGGAGCTTCACGACGTTGTTATAATGTTACCCCGGCTATTCATGCTCTATCTGACGATTATACATCTTAACCATAGCCCTCCAGCCTACTTTCCATTTGCAAAGGGCGCTGTAGAAGACTGACATGTCCAAATCACAGCCATCCTTCCTGCACACTATCCATAGTACACCTACTATATAAGAACGATGCTTTCACAACACCAACAGTCCAGTCGCACAGAAATTCATAGGTACTGCATTCTCCAGATATGTCACAGTTGAAAGAATATTTCGTAGAAGCAATTTGTGCAAGTGACTTGTGTTGCTTTTCTAGACAGAAATATTTCTTGATTATGTTGCATACAATTGTTTGGGGCACGTGGAAGGCTTTTGCCACTGACCTTTTTGTTCGTGGATTCTCACCTGTTGTACAAGACGTCACATTTTCTTACCACGACATTATACAA